CAATGCCGGCTATATAAAAGGCCTCTCCACCAGAGAAAAAAGCATATCACCACGCATACACCTGCCATATGTTATCAGGGCATAACTCGGTGCCAAACAAGAACCCCACAACTCTCCATGTCATCCTGGCAACAGCACATGTAAAAAATAAATGCTGGGATGTCTCTCTTTCCCCGCAAAATGGACATTTAGGCTCTCCTTTCCCCGCAAAGATTGTCCAATTGTCCAAACTCGACGTTTCTACGGGCCTCCCCCCCACCATGTTTCGCGAAATGTTATATTGTTCCTTCTTATTTGTTCTCCACCATGTTTCCTTTTATTTTGATTTTGCCAGTGAGAACTGGACATTAGTTTTCTTAACATTGAGAAAAAGAATATGCATATAACTTGAAGGGAACTTCTTTCGCAACAATGCGTCGAAGATCAACCAATCGCAATATTCTCCATCTACTTTGAACCCCCTAACTTTTTTTTAACCGGGCATTACCCCTTTCCATTACTGCGACATAATGGAAATATAACCATGTCCAAAAAATGAGACAGGAAAGATGGAAGCGAGTTCAAGCATCACCGGAAAACCCACCATGAGCACTTGCCATCGAGATTACTCGCTATGGGGTGAAAACCCGACGACACTATAAATCCATCACACACAAGCAATTAGGACTGTCTAAATTAGACCACTAGAGACATTGCTCATAACAGAGCATCAGGAAATAACGCCCTCACGCTGGAGAAGCGACCCAAAATGATCACAAATCAGAGAAGTAGAGAACCCTCCTCCATCAGCAGCCCCCCTCATCTTGGTATACAGCAGCACTGATCCTCATCAGACGAGAAGCGTTGTTGATCCCCCCAGCCCTCAGGTCCACCGCATCCTCCTGTTTCATCATACCTTCCCAGTAACAGAGAAGAGCACAAGCAGAGAAGATGCATTCAAAAGGAGACTTGAGGGGAATATGTTCAAATGTAACTCTATTACGACAGGACCATATCGCCCAGCAAATTGTTGCAATGTCGGCTGTATAAAAGACCTCTCCACCGGGGAAAAAAGCATATCACCACGCATACACCTGCCATATGTTATCAGGGCATAACTCGGTGCCAAACAAGAACTCCACAACTCTCCATGTCATCCTGGCAACAGGACA